TATATACAGAAAATCCCCGCCCAAGTTCTTACTCTGGTCCAATATGCTAATAAGGGGAAGAAAAAAAAATGCCTCATCCTGATTGGCTGGAAGGGCCTTGTCCTGATTGGTCGATATTGGCAGGCTTTGGTGGTTTTGGAGTTAGGGTCCTCTGTTTAAAGTCCAGCTTGTATCTGGGGCCACATCCTGATTCTGCTCTGCAGGAGAAACTTTTTGACAATAACAGCCAATAGAAAGTGTTCCAGGTGTATGTTTTTCACCTGGGGATTGCTCCCATGGTCCCTAACTGTATCACAAGGAAAATTAGATCAGTCATTTCTATTAAAAAAAATAAAATAAAAGGAGCTGTGACCTTTGGGATTCAGGTGTAAATAGCTGATTTTAACAAAAATTCTCTTCTTTTTGAGGGAGAGTTGAGGAGGACGGTATGTCTCCCCAGGTAATTGTGATTCTTTCCCTTAAAGTACAGCCCTAGGTGAGAGTAGGTAAGAGACTGGTCAGATAATTTTTACAACTTGAGGCCAGGGAGGACAAAGAAAGGAGATCTAGCACAAAAGAACTTGGGCTTCTCAGGTTCAATTCATTATTTGTCAAGCCCTAGTTATTTTGTGTGTGTGTTTTTTTTTTTTACCCAAATTATCTCATTTGATCTGGGTTCCAACACTGTGAGGTAGATAGATGTCATTATTGTCAATTTATAGATAGGAAATTGGACACTGATTATGTCATTATACCCCTCTGGGCCTCAGACAATGAAAAAGTAATGGCGTTTTATTGAGACTTTTCATCTTTGAATAAATTGAACTCTAGGTGAGGCTCTCCCATTTTTGTATACAACATCCCATTGATTCCGCTCTGAATGAGCCTGTATCTCATCATGATATATGGCCTGAGAACACAGAAGCAAAGAGCATTTTATTTTTATTTTTTTATTTTTTTAAGATTTTATTTATTTGACAGAGAGAGACACAGCGAGAGAGGGAACACAAGCAGGGGCAGTGGGAGAGGGAGAAGCAGACTTCCCGCCGAGCAGGGAGCCCGATGTGGGACTCGATCCCAGGACCCTGGGATCATGATCCGAGCTGAAGGCAGATGCCCAACGACTGAGCCACCCAGGCGCCCGCAAAGAGCATTTTAAAGGGCACTGTGGGGGCGCCTGGGTGGCTCAGTTGGTTAAGCCGCTGCTTTCGGCTCAGGTCATGATCCCAGGGTCCTGGGATCGAGCCCCACATCGGGCTCCCTGCTCAGCGGGGAGCCTGCTTCTCCCTCTCCCTCTGCCTGCCTCTCTGCCTACTTGTTCTCTCTCTCTCTGTGTCAAATAAATAAAATCTTTAAAAAAAAAAAAAGGGCACTGTGCTACTGTGAAGTTAATGGCAATTAAACCAAGTTTAAGGGACATCAAGATGCAGTAGTACTCGGGAGGAAATTGTTGGGCTACATCTGGTCCCCTTTGGCAGTATCGTTGGAGGAGACGAGAGAATTTGGCAGGATCTGGTGTGTGTGTCAGGATGAGGCATTCCCATTGCTTATGTTTGCTCTCTGGCCTTCTTCCCTATGAACGAGGCCAACTGCTTTAAAAGGCAAGCAGCATAGCATGGGAAGCTGGGGCCTGGCAGCTGTCTGTTGAGCAGCCTTCTTTCTGCAAAGTGAGGGAAGCAAGGGCATCAGGCCATGGGCTGCTAAACAAGTGGGTCAGCAGGGCAATGACATGTGGAGGGTGTGAGCCACTAGATGAGGAGCACACTTGGGAAGTTAGATTCTAAACCGTTACAGATGCTCGAAATACAGGAGCCATCCTGGCATAAGCATCAGGCTGTTCACTGACGTTCCGTAACATGTCGTTCAGTTTTGCCTTTGTCAGGAAGGTATGTGGTGGAAAGAACACTGCCCTAATATCAAGAAGATATGGGTTCTGTCTTCAGCTCCACACTCATTTGCTGTCTAACCTTAGGGAAGTCACTTCACTCTCTGCCTCCCAGTTGACCCGGCTACGGACTAAGAGAGGTCCCCTACGTATGCTCAGCCTAGTCATCTACCAATTCTGGAATTGGCAATGTGCTCTTCGCACCTCTGTAAATCCAAAGTAGCCAGTGAGTCAGGCCATAAAGGGTTTGCCTTTTGCAAATAAGAAATTGTGGTCCAGAGTGACTGGCTGAAAGTCAGAGATCTCCTAATTCCTGGCTTAATATTCTTCCCAAGGCACAATCCATCACCACCTTGACTCGCAGTGTGTTTTTGTTCCAGATAACTCAATCGGGTGGCTCTCTCAGAGCTGCAGCTGTTGCCCAGGAGGAAACGAGCCAATTTGGAAGTGGTTCTCACTTCTGCAGATGAAGGTGCCTTGTATCATGGTAACAGGAGCCAGGGGAGGTGCCCTTTCCCCAGTAACTCTCCCTGAGCAATTTCAGTGGCGGATAGAGCAGTTATTCTCTAACTTCGACGGGAGAATCCTCAGAAGCTCTGCTTCAGGTGCTGATAGCTGGGCTCCACCCTGAGGACTTCTTCGGGCTTGCTTATTGGGTTTAGAATCTCCTGAGAGAAGACAATTCCAGTGAGAAACCCGACAGAGAAATAACTACAAGGCCAGTCACACTCTCTGCCATCTGCCTTTGCCTGTCTGCTAGGAGAAATCTGGCAGACCTGCGCTGGTGGGGGATGCACAGTCTCTATTCCTAGCATGGCTTAGCCCAAAGGAACCAGCTGACTAATGCTGTTTTACCACATACTTCACTTCTGTCCTTTTTAATCCGGTGGAGTGATTTTATCAACCCCGACGTAAACGAACATGGGAAGGGCTCAGATCCCATTGGAAAGCAAGAACTATTGCATTTGGAAAAATCACTTTTGATGTGGGATCAGAATATCAGACAGATTACATTACTGGGGAAGCTCCTTATAAACCCCTTCAAGATGTGCAGGCACTTTATGTTACGAATCACTAGTTAGACCAAAAAAAAAATGTTTCTTTTAAAGGTAACATAAATGACTCCTCAATATTCGAAGAAGTTAATTATATATTATAATTTTTAAAAGGTGAGTAGAATCCAAGAACAGTTACACCAAGAATAATACATAATTTTTAAATACATTCACAAATCAAAAGAAAACCTTTGTTTCATCCTATATCTTAATCATTTGAGTTCAGAAAATATGATTCTGGAATGGTCAGCTAGCATCCAAAATATAGGAGTAAATTAATGACCAAAGTTCTCTGGTTTCTTGGGTTTCTGGGATCCATGGTAATTTATTACATAGTTTGAACACTAAAAAGATTAAAACATCTAACTTACAGCCCTTATTCTAAGTACTTAGTTCACGTTCCCTTATTATCTAATGTGGAGAAGACCTACTCACTCATTCTTCCAAATTCCTTACTCAGCAGCAGGCAAGAGAAAATCTTTTGCTGGTTTGATGTATCAAACAGCATTAAAAAGGTTAACAATAATAATAGTGAAAAAAAATAATATACATCTTCTTGGTTCCCTCTCCTCTTTTCATTTTCTCTGCTAAAGTCTTCAAGGCCCGTGTTGCAGTTCTATCTACCACTCAGTGGGATCTGATGCCACTCGAAGATCTTGTGGTTGCCAAACCTTCCACTCAGAAGTTCCTGGCCACAAATATTGGGGTGGGAAACTTGAATATGGGCCATCTAATGAAAGCTCCCCCCAGGACCACAGAAAATGAATAAGTAGAGTAGACTGAACTATCGTTACTACTGTTCCCAACATATCATGCCCTCCCCTAGACCAGAATCCTGTTGTCACACTGTTGTCATGTAACTCTGTGGTACCTTACACCAGAGGAGGCGGAGCCTATTTCCCTGTCCCACTGATGCTGGGCGTGGCCATGTGGTTTCCTTTAGTCAACAGAATGGAGACAATGGTAAACAGGATGACCATTTTGAGCCAAGGCCTTACAGGCAAAGAGTATTCTGCTGGCCTCACTTGGAATTCTGTAATCCACCATGAAAGACCATGCCCTGGGTGGCATCTGGTCCCAGAAGATGACAACTCATGAAGCAAGCCTGGATCCCCAACTGAAGCCAGCATCCCACCTAGTTCAGGAGAGCCTGGTCAGTTCAATGGAGTTCAGGCAAACCGCAACCAACCTGGAGATTCATGAGTAAAACATACATATCTGGGTTATAAGCTATTTGTTCTGTTTTGGTTTTGGCCATGTAGCCTTATTGCAGCGATAGTTGACTGACAGCAATAGGTGAAGAAACCAGCCCAAAGAGAAAAATCTCAGCCAGGTATATAGCTTTGATGTACAAAAATACATTTATTTTCAACAATTTCAAAACCACTGTCTTTTTTTTTTACAGTAGAAATATTCAAATGGGACAATAAAATCAAGAACAGTATATGTACATATACTGTATATACAGACATGACTCATGCATTTGTATTCCAGTATTTAGTACAAGTATTGCAATTGTCTGCCCCATTTAACCCTCGAAACAAAAAAGCCGGATCTCTAGAAGCACTCCTTTTCCTGATCTGCGCTGTAGCCAGTCAGCCTTCTCTAGGTCGCATTCTCTCAGGGTCTCACAGAGAAGAAGGCAAACGATATCTCACAAAAATTAACAGGTACAAAATCTGGCCTTTCCTCCCATATATATACAGTATATCATTTTGTAAAACAAGTGTACTCAGGCTGCGCCTGAAAAGAAAAGAATGCTTACGGCATGGCTTAAAGTGACCCTACGGAACAGAAGTGGTGTGTGCGAATGGGCGGAGGGGCCAGGGGGCTGGGAATGAGAAAGCTGGCTTGGAAAGCCGCTCACCCAGAGGCAAGAACTATCTTAAGGGAACTGAAGGCAGACATTTGACTTTAAGGAAGTTGAGTACATCTGACAAGCAAATAGCACAGCTTTGCTAAAATCATCTTGGACTAATATCATGAAAGGCTAGCCCCCTCTTTGGCCTGCAAGGGCTTACACAGACTCGTGATGCCACAAATGCCCCATCCCTCCCAGGCGCTCTCACTCCTCCTGTGCCGAGGAAGGAATCCAGCCAGAAAGCAGAAAAACGGTCCCTTTCTGATCCGCGGCCGAGCTTCTTTAGAGAAAACCCATCTTCTCAGCCTGATAAACACCCTCCATGCTTTCCTTTTGGAGGGGAAGCCCTGTTGCCCCACCTGCGTCTCAGTTTGAAGTCTCTGGTGGGCTTCGTCTTGCAACTTCTTCCAGGTCACCGATGGCACAGAAAGGCCCCCATGTTCTAGGATGTCAGTCTACTCCTTCCTTAACGACTCGGCCCAAAGAAGCCCACCCCGCGCCCCTTTATATACATAAGTAGAAACCAGCTATGGCATGGGACACAGAGATGCAAGAGTTAAGTGTGACAGACAACTGGAGAGCGTCCAGAACCCAACACATCTAGCAGGCCTGGGGGTTGGTCAGCTCTGAGGGTGAGTGCATAAGCCAACACACGCATCTTTCTTTTTTTCTGTTTTCTTTTTTACTAAACATTAAATTATTTCTTAGGAAATAAAAAGCTATTTACATTGTAATTATATACAGTAAGCCATCTGTAGCCTCGCTATTGACATGCATGAGGCGAGGGCCTCTTTCTCGTAAAGGTGTGCACGCTTTCTGCACCTACTTTCACTCCCCACCAACCCATCTCCTGCAAATCTAACTGGGAAACGGTCTGTGTCTTAGAGTGTGTGTGCTGGGGGGAGGGTGTGGGTGATGTTGGGGGGCCAGGAGGGGGGGCATGGGAGGTTAATGAGAAGCTAACCCAACTTAAAAAAAGAAAAAAAAAAAAGAAGAAGAGACCACAAGGAAAAAGAGAGTCCTCACATGGTCAGTGGCAGAAGAAAGCAAGAAGGCCAGCGGAAGATGCCTCCTTTGCCCTTAGCACAAATACAGCCATTTATTCTTTTTGTCTCATTTTAATCAGCTAAGAATGCCTTTTGCCTCCCAAAGCTAAGCATCTGCCTGCTATTTATGAAGGGGCCCTTGGTAAACAAAAGGTAAAAAAGACATTTTAATTTTTTCCATAATAATAGTCATAGTAATCATCAAAAATAAAGTCAGAAAGATGGCTGACCACATGGCTGGTTGGTGTTAAACGCTAGTGCAGTTGGGGATCTCCTTTGTGCTTTCGCTGTTTGCAATGGCGGCAATGCCTCCTGCAGGGGAGAGAAGACAGACAGACGGAAAGAGGATGTCAATTTCACAAGGGCAGGGATCCTGTCTATTTTATTTACTGCTACATACCAAGCCATCTTGGAACGGGTGCTTGATAGGTATTTATTAAATGGGACACCTGGCTAGTCTATACTACCAGCTCATTGGCTTCTGTCACCTATGTTTAAAGTGTCCACTTCCCACACCAGCACACGAGGGGGGAGCAATGACTTGTCACCTTACACACCACTCATGACAACACTAAGAGCCAACATGCAGTAAACACGTCCTCTGTGGCAGGCACTGGGCTAATGACATACTCTCATTTCATTATCACCACAATTTTAGAAGGTAGGTACTATTATTCCCATTTCACAGATGAGGAATATGCTAGAGCCCTCTTGTATGTGGTTATGAAATAGGACATCTACTGCTTTTGCTTCATAGAAGAAAGGAAAAATCCCAACAGTGATGGAGAGTTGGCCTCATCCCTCCCGCACTCTGACTCCCACACTTTCGATCTTGGTCTACTTTTAAGGAAAAAAAAAATCTGCCACTTTCATGTTGCCAAAGGTGGCAGACAAATTTTAAAAAACACAATTATGTCTCTGTAGCCAGCCGTTTCCCACCCACCTCCAGTTTGACATGAGTTGAAGGACAGGCCACGTGGGCTGACTGCCCTCACGTTTGGAGGATGGAGGACACAGGAGCTTGTTGGTACCAGCACACATACCTATGACCCGGGTATCCAGCTCTTTGTCCAGCAGTTCCTCGGGCTCGGTGAAGTCACTGAGTGTGATTTTGGGGGCGTTTTCACTTTGGCTCACTGACCCAATCATCTCCTGCTCCTTGTCGTGTTGGACTTGAGCATAGATGTTAATCCAGGGGATTTTCCTACAAAAATCAGATTATGATCACAGGGTATGCCAAACTTGGGCCATTGGGAGATTCTGGGCCATAAGGGGGAGAAAGAAGCTATTTATAGAACAGGCCAAACGTCTGGGAAAGGGGCTGGTCACCCAGACATTGTAGCCGTGAGGCCAAGAAACACAAGGCCAAAGACCAGGTGCCCAGGGGAAATGTAAACCACAGAACTCCCTGAAGAATGCACCTTCTTCTGGGGTGAACCAAACAGGTGTCAACAGAAGGGCAATGCTGCTAAGCAGGTATGCACTAAAACCCTTAAAATACTTATCCCTCACTAAGTTTTACAAGGAGCTGGACTTTGAGATGCATAAGATTATATCACAGTGAAAAGACATCTTTTTCTTAGGTTGCATCAAGTTAATCAATTCACATTGGTTTCCTTTGTGAAGAGCCCAGAAAAAAAGGCTTCTAGCCATTGCTCCTATCTTCAGAACACCACTTGTGGGCCAAAGATCTTAAATATTTGGATAGTCAGTTTCCTCATCTGCTCCATGGGAGTAACAATAGCTTCCTTGTAGGATTGTGGAAAGGATTAAGGCAAGGATTAAGAGAAGCTAAATAATCTCCTTCAAAGACACAAATGTTGTAGGTTTGGAAACAAGGCAGAAAGACTTAAGGTTGGAGGAGCGGCCGGTTGAGATTAGAATTTTCTTAGAGGATTCATCTTCTGACCCCTCTCCATATCCCTGATCCACTGGGTTCCAGGCCTGTAGCCTCCTGTGAATTCCTCTCACCGAGTGCTTCCCAGACTTTAATGTGCTTATTTCTCACCCGGGTTCTTGCTAACGTGCATTTGTGACTCGAAAGGTCTGGACAGGATGGGGTGAAATCCTGCAATTTCTACCAAGCTCCCAGGTGACACTGAGGCTGCTGGTCTGAGCCCCAAACTTTGAGCTGCAAGAACCTAGTACATCAAACTCATCCCCACCTTGGGGACTTGAAACCAGCTGTTCCCTCTAGAACACTCTTCCTTCTACTCTTCTAATGATGGTGTCCTTTTTGTCCTTCAGAACTTGGTTCTGAGAGAATTCTCCTGACTACCCCACCTCTCCTGTGAAAAATATAGACTTATGGGACAGAGTTTATGAAATAAATGAATAGGGTGTTGGGTTTAGGGTGATGTAAGAAGCAAGTGTGCTGACTTTGTTTCCCATGTGTGCCGGATCTATAGTCTCTGTCTTCTCTGCTGTACATGCAATTTCGCACAGTGCTTGGCATATGGTTGATATTCAATAAGTATTTGTTGAGTGAATGAGTAGATGACCTCAAAACTTGTGTTCTTTCTATTTTCATGTATTAGATTCTCAAACAAAAAGACCACAATTTTACATCGGAATATTATCTCTAGAAGAGACCTCTCTTACCCAGATTAAAATCCAGACATTTCTTGAAGCTGATCACTGGCAATGATATTATTAAAACTTAAGGTATCTGACACCCGGGCGCCTGGGTGGCTCAGTTGGTTAGGCGACTGCCTTCAGCTCAGGTCATGATCCTGGAGTCCCGGGATCGAGTCCCACATCGGGCTTCCTGCTCAGCAGGGAGTCTGCTTCTCCCTCTGACCCTCTTCCCTCTCGTGCTTTCTATCTCTCATTCTCTCTCTCTCTCAAATAAATAAATAAAATCTTTAAAAAAAAAAAAAGGTATCTGACACCCACCCCAATCCAGAACATTCTGCGCATTTCTAAAGGAGAATCTTTCTGTTGTCCTACAACCAAGCAGTGGTGTTTTCAAGCTTCTATACTCCCTTCCACCACTCCAACCCCAATGAGGTAGAGTATGGGGGCATTTAATGAGGTTTGCTTGTAGCTAATTCATAAGGAAAGATCCCCAAATAGGTAGGAAACATGGGTGGTTCCTACCACTCCTTTACATTCAGTTTTTATTTCTTTAATGGTTGCTTTTCATACATTAAGAGAGGTGTCTTTGTGACTCCTACTGGTCTAAACCAGCTTAACATAACTTACAAGGACCTTACATGAATAGATTCTATGTGAGGCAGCAGACCGCAGGCTCTCTAAATATGTATAATTAAAAATTCATGCTGGCTCTTACTTTCCTCTTATCTAATAGAAATGCAACCTAACGACTTAGATTTCTTCTAATCATAAAAGTACATATTACTCATGAGCGGTGGGATCAGCTGTAATATTTATTAGGTGCTGGAGGCAGTCAAACTCTCCTGATCCCACAAGTTTGTGTACTTCAGAGCTGTAGCCAGAGTTCACGGCCTCCCCCTTGCTACTTCCCTAGTGATACCTGGGAGGATGCGGATAAATCTTCCCTTACAAAGATTGTTCACTTTATTTCAATCTCTAAACAACAGGCAGAAAATTCTTCAACATTTTTCAAAGATGGTGGAAGGGATACAATTTTACGGCATCATGTGCACATTTTAAAAACTTGTCAAATTGCTTTTCATCTCTTAACACATGCACTCGAAGGACGGGAGAATATCAGACTAAGCCCCATTTTTGCAGGTAAGAAAGGTGGGAAATAAAGAGATTTAGGGGCATCTCTTGGCCTACATATTCACATAGGTTTTAATAAGAGAAGGAAGATGGATCAACCGAGTCGCCCATAAAAACTTCAGTTTTTGTTTGCTCCATCTCTAAGTGTTAGGAGCCTGTGGGAGGAAATTTAGGTCTCTAAATTTCTCTTAAGTGAGTAGGCCTCAGAATGTGATGAAAGACTTGCTAAAAAAAAAAAAGGCTGGAAAAACATATAAAGGCTCAAAAGTTTTCTTGGATAGCAGAAAAAAACCCAGATCTACAGTATAGAAAGAAAGTCTTGTTAGGCAGAATTTTCAGATAATAAAAGCCATATCATAATGATTTCTAATTACTTTGTCTAAAACTTCAGAAAATAACTATCCAAGAATAAGATCAAATGTGAGAAACAGGGTGATATTTACATAAAGGAAGCTTGCGGCTCACCATAGCTCTCTTCTCTTTTCCTTGTTAAGTGACCACTTGGGGCACTGAGATTGTTTTCAGTGCCTGGCACATAGTGGGCACTCACTCAGTAAATGTTTGTTGGATGAATAAGTGGTTTAATGAGTTAATGCTGATGATTACACAGAGAAAAGTGTTGAGTCTGAAAACAGCGTGGCCAGTGATCTGGAAACAGAAACAGAATTGCCCTTTCTCTAGATGTACTGAATGTTTGCTAGCCAGGTGCAGGTATTTAAATTTAAATTAATTAAAGTTAAATACAATTTAAAATTCAGTTCCTCAGTCATACTAGTGGTTACTGCATTGGGCAGTATACATTAAGGACATGGCAGAAAGTTCTATTGGTGATTAAAGAAACAAAGGAGCCTCTGGGAAGCACAAATAAGAACCTGACCTTTACTCATCAGCAAGCCCGGCACCCTCCAGAGAGCCCTCAAGAGAGTTCCAGGTGATGGGGAGGGAAAAAAAACCAAAGAAATAAAAGAAGATCCAATAGGACCTCAACCAAAGGGCTTAAGCATTGGGAAGAAAACTTCCAGAAAAGGTAGCTAGAAAAGAAAAGGTAACAGATGATTGGTAAGTGTACTTAGCTGACTCTCCTGTTCATCCAGTCTGAGTGGTGTTTCTTCCCTGTGGCCTTAGCTACATAATTCACTGTCAGGGACACAGAAAGAGTTGGCTGATATTGGGGAACGACAGAGGAAGAATAATTCAGAGATGTCATTACCTGGCAGAGATTCAAGAACTCCAATGTACACATTTAGAGATGCCTACATTAATAGGTTGACTGTCTAGGGAGTTTAGCAGCATTTGTAAGAGAACAGAAAACTTCCTAAGTCACAGGATGTCTTGCCTTAGTTTGGAGATGCCTGACACAAATAGCTTTTTGCAGGACTTCTACTGGCCCTTGTCCTCAGCAACCATGAGGTTCTAGAAGTAAAAAGGTGACAAATTTGGTTTAGTTTCTCTTCAAGCTCCAGCAACCACCGGCTTCCCCACAATCAAATCCTTGGATGAATAAAAGTGTGCTTTGCATGTAACTGAAGTATATCCACAAATGGGCCTTGCCTTGACTAGACCATTTCTATATGGAATCTTTGTTCTTTACTTATGACACAAAGGTTTGTTCCCATCTTCAAAGGCAACATGGGCAGGTGGGTTCGCATGTCTTGATCCAAGAGGACATGAACACACACACTGGTCTATTAATTGAGTAGGAAGGTAAAACTCTGTCCTGATATGGAGGGTGTTGAAGGCTTCCCGCTAGTTTGGCAATGCTGAGATGAATATTGAAGAAAACCCGTGTTCTGAAGCCTGAGCTACCCACTAGAAGGCAGTGAATGAGGTCTGGGGGAGAGGGTGGAGCACAGCACCTTTACAACTGATCGCTTTCACAATCTAAAAGCATTACCTTCAGTATCTAGAAAGACTCCCAGGACCAAGTTTTGCTTTCAGAATAATTAATGATATTTTTACTTTAACCAGTCTTTGTATGAAGCACATTTCTGTGCCACTGATAGGATTTTTTGAGAGCCTACCATGTGCCGTGTTGGGACACAGAAGCCACCTTTGGACGTCATGTTCTCTGTTATCTAAAATAGCTTAGTGTTGTTGATTATTTAGTATGTACCAGGTATAGATGTTATTATATTTAAACTGCGCAGTAAGCCTATTAAGTATTGTTTTGTCCATTTTACAGATAAAGAGATGAAGGCTTAGGGAGGCAGATTCAATTGCCCAAAGCTACAAATGCTAAGTTAAAATTGGGGGTCTGTCTCATTGCAGAGTTCATACTCTGAACCGGGACACTTCTTGGTAGAAGCTTATTCAAATAATGGTACAGAATGATTGATTTCAATTTCATGTTTTAATAAGAATCCTGTTGTGTCACCCCTCCTGTAGCCTTCAAACATAATTTCTGAATACATGTGAAGTTTAGTTTTCCTGATCAATTGCCCTTTAGAAACAGGAAAAAGAGGGAAAGGGTAAAGGTTGAATATTTTTAGCATGCAAATTTACACAGAGAGACCAGGTAAGCTGCAACACAAGATAGGAAAATGTGTGTGTGCGCGCGTGCGCGTGCGCGTGCATGCACGCACGTGTGTGGGTCCACGTGTGCTCCAGATTTCAGCTGCATTTGGTCTACTTAACCACCCTAAATGGGTAGTAAGCTGTAGAAAAGATATCCTGAATATCCAAGACCTTACTTTAGAAATTTAGGTGAGGTTTAAAAATTCTCTCCACTTCTCTTAAAGAGAATAAAGTGATTTCATAGGCTATCCCTTATTTTCCTAACTCAATATACCTATAAATTGGATAGAGTTCAGATTCTTAAACCCATTTATTCCTTGACCCTCAACCATTCCTGCTTTCCCCCAATGCCAAACAGAACTTCAAAGAGAATTAATTTCACGTATGTGGGATGAGTTTAGGAATGTTGGCTATAGGAAGAATCAGCTCCCAAGAATCCAGCTTCAATAACAAAATTGAGTGACAGTAGCACATACCTTTTAAACTTGTAGATTAGAAACACAGCCAGGCCGACAAACACCACTGACAAGAGCATAAGCATGGCCGAGCTGCTGTGCCCAGCACTGGAGTCCACCAGCGGAGCTAGGAGGAAAAAGCAGATGGCTCACTTGGAATCTACTAGATGGAGGGAGTTCCCATTGCAGAATGGAGGCCAGCTGATGTCCCAACCTTATATCTAGTCTCCAACTGCCTTGCACTGTGTGCTATCAGGAAGCTTGGTTTCAATGATGAAAATAGTATCCTCAATCACAGCTTCTTAGGACAACTCCTCTGCTCTGCCTGGAGAAACTTACTGTTCTTGGTGTAAACTGAGTAATGTGCATCTAGCTAAGGGGAGTAGAGAAGAGGGGCTTGAGTGCTCTTTCTCTTAGAAGGCCTGAGTACCTGTCAACATAATTATGGGTGGCCCATTGGGAACTTTGGATTAAATATTGATGCAATGTTTCATTCTCTTCCTTTACATGGTTCTATGAAAACACTGCTGGGTGCGCACGTTTAGAACCTCCACATCTGAAAAGTCCTATATTAATAAGAGATATTTAGCAAATAGGCTCTCCTGGAGAGCCAGCAGTGGATGCCCAATGGGACATACATTTTCAAATTCCTTTTACAAATCAATCACTAGAGCTGATCTCTGTATCAATTTAGATTTACCTGTTGTAAATCAAAAGGAGTTTTAAAGTTATCTCTTGTGGCCTCCCAACCAAGATTCATGGAATCAGAGAATTGTAGAAATTAAGAGACCCTGAGGACTACCCACTATAATCCTGACTGTTGTGGATAAAAACAAACGAACGAACAAACAAACAAAAAACAATTAAGTCAAAGCCCAAGGAAACTGTAGATTTTCCCCCAAGGTCATCCAGAGATTCAATAGCAAAGCCACTTCTAATGAAGTCTTCTTGCCACCTCAACAGGAAGCCCCAAGAAAGATGTGATTAATCTTTCGTAACCATCACTACACACAAGAGCCCTGCCCACAAAGCTATTTTCAGGCCTTTGTGGAGAAGTGTCTGCTAATGATCTCCTCCCTTTTCTCCCCAGGATAATAGATCACCATCTCCATTTCCCCCTGGATCCCAGCAGGCACTCACCTAATGTCAGCTGTGTGACAAACACAGTAACTTGAACCCCTGGCTTCAGCTCAAACTGCACCAAGTTTTGGTTCAGAGCATTAAACAGCATCTCTACAATCTGGAAAAAAAGAGAGAGAGAGAGGTGCACAGGAAGACATGACAAGAGACAGTCCTCCCTCGTGGAGCAAGAAACCAGGGTCAAGAGGCAAACAGTGACCGAGTTCTAGCAGGAGACAGGATATTGGGACATTTTCATCAATCTGGTTCTCATAGGCCTCGGAGTCCTGCGAGGCCAAAGAAGTAGTTGGTGTTATTCGCTTATCCTGGAGAGCAGAGTGAGACAGAGAGAGGTATGTCCAAAGTCACTCAGTGAATTACAGTTGATAACAGACATCGATGTTTCATTCAAACCCTGGTTCAGTGCTTTTTCATCCATGCCTTTATAACTCACCGTAGCACAACCTATTGTGGTTTCCAATGAAAGGACATCAACCCATCATTAGTTCTTTAATCTAATGAAGTAACACACACAGGGTAGAGCGGCCCTTGCCAGGATAAAAGCCGCGGACATACGTCCCCAGCCCACTCCTCTGCTTTTTCTCTTTTGGAGACAATGGGAGGCAGACATCAAAGCAGAAGCTGCCTTCTTTTTATGGAATAATTTTTCCTTTTTACTTTTCCCCGGCAAGTCTCGGAACACATAACATCAATTTAATCACTCTGTAATTCCCACATGAAAGCTGGGGCCGACTTGGGCTATGGTCCCTAACTCTTATCTGGCTGTACGTGCCTTAATATCACAGCTGCTATTCATCACCGTAATTACCTATTTATCTAAACGGATGGATATTGTAGCTTCCAAATATAGTTCACATATGCCACTTGCTATTTCAGAATAAAGAGGTCTTGTAAAAGTGACGCGTGCATTGAGAAGCTGAATTTATTTCTGGCCAACTTGGGTATGCAGCCCTGCACTACGAGGATCTGCTTCATTTTCCAGAGGAACGGACTGTGCCGGGTCTCTGCTGCCCGAGGAGGACGTGGACGGCCATGGGGATGAGGTGGCAGGCAGGTGAGTATTGGAGAGACACGGAAGATGTCTGCACAACGACTGCCTCGTGTGGGAGCAGATGTGTGCTTCATGTCGATGTGAGAAGCCTCAAACTCACTTTTTTCTACCCCTCCTGACTTACCATCATGGGAAGGCAGGGAAGTGTGAAGCAGAGCACAGCCCATGAGAGCCCAGTAGGAGCAAGAAGCAAGAGAGGGAGAACCAGCTCCTTGACTTCCGGGATGGCGTGCCCATCACAGGAACCACATGCCCGTTTGATGAGGACGGTAAGCCACAGTCCCTTTGGACATGCTGTTTCCTTAGCCAAAACGCGATGAAGCAATCCATCTCTCTCCACAGAAACACGTTTAAAAGCAGCTCGTTTTCTCTCCTGAAGCAGAACTTAGACTGACCGGGATCTTTAAGGACAAGAAGCCTATTTTCCCAGAAACATACAGGGACACTCAGATCCCTCCTCTCTCTCCTGTGTCCCCTCCCCCCGCCACCCCCCAGGGGCAGGTCACTGGGCAGGAGACCTGAGGAAGTTGCAGGAATGCCAACTGCTAGAATGAGTGCTTCTGGGATGCCTTCCCTTCTTGTGTGCTGAATGCCCCAGTCTGCGTGCACCTGGGCATCTTCTGGGCAAACCTGTTGTTTCTCACAGCCCTGGGTGCCGGACAGATGGACAGGCCGCTGGGCCAATGGGAGGAAGCTCCCCTCCCCTTGCAGCGGGAGGTGAGGTTGTGTGCCCTTGGACTGGGAGGTGCAGGCAAGCACCCCTGCCAAGCCTTCCCTCACTTACTTGTTCCAGGTCCTCTTCATTGCCTTTCCTCCTCTCCGTCAAGTTCTTGGGCGGAAGGATGAAGAGCTCTGCTGAAGTGGGAAGGCCAGGGAACACGGCCACCAGGATCTGGTCTTCCGGGACGCCAGTTACCTGCAGAGACCACAGAGTGAAGGTGTGGGGGAGAGCCAGCCTCCCCGAGTCCATGACAAGGAGCAGAATGCGCCCGGGTGTAAGGCTCACGTGCATGCTGCCTTACACAACATGGGAGGCACAGGGCCCAGTATATATCCAGGCTTCCTTTCTGTTTCCCCAGAGGGGGGCTGTGATTAGTCTCACTACCTCCGCTGGCTCTTACATACGTTTTTACTGAAACTAAAATACTACAGTGATTTTCAGAATAGCATTTGCTGGGAACACGGGCTACAGCCCATCCCATATTTTCCATTTTTTTCTGCATGGAGAGGACTAGAGCTTCTGGCAAAAGCATGAACGTACTGGCTGCCAAGAAGGAATAAGAGGTTACAAGCAAACGTGGGGAGACGCAAATTTAAAAAAGAACAAGACAAGCAGCACGATTTTTACTTACTAAAGCAGGATTTTTGTATTAAGTTAAAATTGCTAATACGGGTGAGGCTTCAGTTAAGAGGCTCTCTCATTTGTGGCTGGGCTCACTAAAAATCAATGCACGTTGCCAATTTGCTTTTCAAAAGACTTACTTTAAGGCCATAAAAATATTCAGAGCCTTCATGCAGTAACTGTAACTTGGAGTGTTTGTCCTAAGGAAATGATCCAAAATATAGAAAAAGCCACATACAGGAAGAAAAACATTATTTATAATAGCAAATACATGGGGAAAAACTCAAATATGCAAAAACTTAAGTAAGTAATGGTATAATCACCCGATAGAATGTTATTTTACCATTACGATGATAATTAGTACAGTCAGCCAACATGGAAACACACTTATGATAGCTGCATTCTGATCTATTTCCTTACATTCCTTTGGTTACAACCCTATAAAAATGTGTAAGAGTAAAAAAACAAAACACTAAAAGTTGTGCTAAGATGCTGAGATCATGAGTGAATTTTTTTCTATTCCTGAGTGTTTAGTAAAAGGATTATATTGCTTTTTGATGAAAACTTAAAGGAAGCTTCTGCCTGGAGGTAAATTCCTAAAGCAAACAAAAGTCTGAGTCATCCCCCACCCCTTGTAAAGAGTATGGTCATTCTTCTTTATGTGTCTCCTGGAGGTCTTTTATCCAGAACCCCTCCTCTTCTTCTGCCAATTCAAATAGGGTAGCTTCTGATTTGGCAGAAATACCTGCCCCTCCAAGAAGTCTCCCCTGACTATCTCCACTTGCAGTGACCTCCTCCATGTTAGCCTCTCACACCAAGGGCTCCCAGACACCATGTCTACCACATTTCAGGGACTTAGATCATCTTGGCTGTGACATGAATGTATTTGGCTGATATAATCTTTTCTCTGATAGGTTCTTATGAATGTTTACCCAAACATTCCTGGGGGTCTTTGTGGCTATCTCACTGTTCTGAAGATGCCTGCACAGAGCAGAGACTCAATAAACAGTTCCTGGATTGAATAGAAGTTGGGGAGTTGTTTCCCATCCGCTTAGCTCTGATTCGTATTTGGGACTAGGCTCACAGATTGGAGTCCATTCTCAGGGACGTGATAACAGTGAGAGCACCAACTTGCAGACAACTAACAAGTAGCATTCAGAAGCCTGAAAAGTCCACCAAACACAGAGGATCCCTTGGAACTGGCTTTGCCAGATGCCTTAGTTTCCTGATGGGAGGCATGATCCCAAGTAGCTGGAAGTCTTGGTGCTCAAGTCTATGGGGCAAGAAGGTCTCATCCTTCATCCTAACCAGCCAGGGGAAGCAAGTCTCTGGAGACCATTCTGAAGGGCAAAGCACAGAGGAGCACCCAGTGGAATGAAGGGGGTAAGGCTGTGAGCACCATCGTTAGGCTGACCCTTCATCCCAGGGAATAGTGGTCTCGGGGGGAGTGGTCAGTCAGTTAGCAACCTTGGGGGGACTCTGGAGCTGTCTAGACTCACTTAATCCCATTCAAAGGGACACTTGAGAGACAGGTCCTCATGAAATTTAAGGCCCAGGCATCAACCGACATGGCTGATTATTATTATTTATTAGAATTATTATTATAATTACCAAGTCATTTATTAAAAAGCTAGTATGTTTTTAATAAACACAATCATGCAAAATATACACAATTCTGGATGTTTCACAGTCACAGAGCATATTAAGAGCCATCACATTTCCATCCCTTTCTATGAATAATCTTTTCGTAAAAAGATTTAAGATGAAAACCATCTGGTAGACAACTCCCCACAGGAATGCTCTCTTGAATCATTCTCTTTTCCTTCTTCTTCTTCTTTTTCTTTTCTGTCAGCTCCTTTTCCAGGTCCTTCCCTAGATCATCCTCCTCTGCCTTAGGGAGCATCAGCGTTCATGTCTGCCCTGCCCCCCACCCTCTGGGGGAGGTCTAATCACCTCCACAGTCTCAGGTCCCACATCTCTGCCTTCGTTCAGGGAACAACCACTTGACCTTCAGATCCATATTTTCAATTCCCCTGGTTATCTTCCCAACTGTTCCTCATGTGCTCCAAACTCACATAAAAAAAAAAAATCACATCATTGGGGTGCCTGGGTAGCTCAGTCAGTTAAATGTCCAACTCTGGATTTCAGCTCAGGTCATGATCTCAGGGCCATGAGACTGAGCCCCGCATCAGGCTCCATGCTCAGCAGGGAGTCTGCTTGTCCCTCTCCCTCTGTCCCTCCCCACCATTCACTTGCTCTCACTCTCTCTCTCTCTCAAATAAATAAATAGAAAGATAGATAGATAAATAAATAAATAAATAAATAAATAAATAAATAAATAAATAAATAAATATCACACCATTACTGCTCCTCAAGCATGTTTCTCTGACATGGTCCAACAAAGGGTGAGGCCATCTCCCTGCTCTGGAATCAGAAAGCTTCTCTTCTTCTCATTCCCACTACATACATACTATTAGTCACCAATTCTACCATTCAACTTCCCAAGTAACCTTTGACTCTTTCCTCTTCGAGATCTTGTTACCTCTGGTCTGGAGAACTGCAGTAGTCTTTTAACTGGTCACCTTTTGTGAAATTTCTCCCCCACCCTATTCACTTCCCACCTCAGCAGCCCATCCTCTGTACTGTTACCAGATTGGGTTTCTGAATATAAATCTATTGTCAGCATTTTTTCCTTAAATAAGAAAGCATTTTTCCAATTCCCAGTGCTTAGTGGGTGTCTGTCAGACTTCTGTGACCTTCTCTGATCCTTCATGAGCTGCCCTAACCATCCTAGCTCAAGTCCAGCCGCACCAGCCTTACAACTTGTAGAATGGCTACACTAAACTCTGCCATTTCCCCAATATGTTGTGCTTTTTCAATAGTCCATGGCTTTGCACACACTGTTCATTCTACCTGAAAGACACCATCCTCTGTTCACTGTTATGTATCCTTTAAAATTGAGCTCAAGTATTCCCTGTAAAGACTATCGTAATAGCTCACAAATACTTAATGAATCACAAATAACGTGCTAAGCCTGCGTTTCCCTGGATAGAGTGAATAATACTTTTCTCCATGCTCCATGCTGGCCATGCCTCTGCCATAGAACTAGTCACATGTTAGACTCACCTCTACATTTGAAAACCCATGCTGCATTTGTCATTATGTTCTAGTGCCTTGTTCTGAGCAAAGGGTTAACAAAACCCTTTCAAAGCTCTCTAAGGCCAATCTGACCTTGGGTTAACTCTAGAACTCTACTACCCTGATGGCATGTTCTGTTTTCTGGCCTGTAGCCTTCGGATTGTCATGTATAGTCAATGGTGGTCTTGTGAGTCTGAATACCTGGTTAAGAAACCCCCTTGGTGGGCAAAGAACAAGCCTAGTGAATGAGATTTGTATACACTCAATGAGTGCTCCCTCCATTAGTTTTTTAAAGGGGTCCAGCTCTTGTCTTAGAAAAATTCAGTATAAAGATAGGGCTAATTATCATTCCCAAACACTGGTTCCTGTCTGTCTCTCTGTCTCTCCCCCCACCCCCCTTCCCTCCATCCTTCCTTCACCCTCCTAATTCTTCTCTCTCTTTTGACAGAAAGATAATCCTTATATAACTGTAGAATGGTGCTTTTAACCCATGAAAATTTATTCGGGATAGACCATTTGGTTCTTTTCTTTACCTAATAACATGTAAGCAAAGATAAAGCCGACTTACTTTAACCAAAGCTCTCTTGATGACATTGCCAATATCTTGCCTCCACTCAGGAATGTCAGGGTTGTGGTAATCCAGGTTTGGAGAGAATGACAAGAGTTGGGACTGGAAATATTCTGCAAGAATAGAGGGTGTGTGAGTGGGGCTGAGAGAGGGGTGGCGGACTGGCAGATGCTTTAGGGAAAGGGTCCACTTTTCCATGTGGCCTCAGCTAAAATCCCTTCCTATTGGCGTGTTTCTTGGCTTCTGAAAGAAGGTGGGATTTGGTGACTGGGAGGGGGATTTATGCTCCTACCATGCAGGAGTTCCTAGCATCTTAAGCCCTTCTTCTGGCAAAAGAATATTGCTTGAAATGAAAGACAAGTATGAAACCCCAGAAGAAGGAGGTATTTGCTACTGGTGATGGTATCATGTGGAGGCAATGATAAAGCATTGACAAGCTGGGCTTGGTTGGAAGGGGGCCTTGCCACTTGTCCTCCCCTGGGTTCCTCTGACCTTCCTCCTAGAAACTATCTCAGGGGATTAGATTGAAATCCTGTGTGTAGGGTGTGGGTAATGTTCCGTTTCTTGACCCCGTTGGTGGGTACACATGTCTGTTTACTTTGTGGTAAGTCATGAAACTAAACACTCGTGATGTGTGCACTCTTCTGTATTAAATTTACATTTAATTGAAAAAAGTCCTCCAGGTACATGATGAGAGAGCCAGAGTATCAAATTTGCAGAGATGTAGGAAAAGGCGCTCACCTGAAGTGAGGCTGAAGAAATATGTTCTGAGTCAGAGGATCACATACCTTAGTACAACTTTTTAGAAAGCCCCAGGTATAGTGGCAGTCTTTAGGGGCCCGGGGGAGGTTGTGTGGAATGGTGCTCGGAGCAAAACTTGATTTAAAATAAATTTAATAATTAGGAATGGCTTTCTGGATTGAGAACAGGATAGTGGCCTTATTATCCACTCTTCTTTCTAGTTCTGCCCTCATATTCTTAGCCTCACTCTTGAACCTTTGCAGCCAAGGATGTTAGAATTTTCCAACAATCGGAATATGTACTTCATCTCAGTAACTCAGCCTTTAGTTCTGCAAGGTCAGGGAACCATGACTCCTCTTTTGAAATCACTGGTCCCCGTGGTCACAAAGGGTCGGTGCTGCATACATATTGTAGATACCTCAGCAGGACATCGGATCTAGATGCTTCTATGATAGTCTTTCTAGTTTAGCATCCTTCAACTTATGCTATGTGTTTGTCTAATAAGAACCTGATCAGGATGTGATACAGATACATCTTAGGGAATAAGAGATGCTTGTCTATGCCCATGTGTGCCAGTTTCTCTTACAGCCTCAGTGTCTATTCAGGAACAAGGTAGAAAGTATGTTTGGAAAATTCTGGTTGACCTACATAATTTTCCCCTAGCCTGGGGAATTGCCAAAGCAGTCAGGCGTTGCCTTGAGGGTAGGCAGAGGGGATTGGTTGGGCAGGAGGGAGCACCACAGAACAACTTTCAGGGCTTACCATGCACAGCAATGTCTTTTGTGTCCTGGATAAGGGCATTCCCTGCAGCCACCTGGACAGTGATGGTGTTAGTGCCTTCGGCCAGGAACGTGAAGGAAATGCTGCTGTCCAAGGTGATGAAGGGCTAAAAAACAGAAGGAGAAATGCTCATTTAGTCCTCTGTGGGATATCAGATTTTCTTCCTTTCTTACAAATCTCAGACTGTCACAAATCTGCATGGTATTTGTGTGTCCCCAAGGGATCCTAACTTGAAACAAGAAAAAAGAAAAAGGCTTTTCATAGCTTCCAAAAACTGTGATTATATCCAGTATCCAGGAAGAGTATTAATATCCTTGAAATACACTGTAAAATGTAATCCTGAAAGATGAAGATAAGACTGGACACTCTGGATTTTGCAAGTCACTCTGTTCCTTCTCCTGGGGCAAAGTAGAAGCAACATTTGTAACCTATTCCAGCTGGCTCTGGGAATAGATCATTTATTTTTCTTCTCCTCCAATATTCTGTGTCACTTCATTTCCGCCTGTATTCCACTGGACTACAAGACCTTTCAGAGAGGTGGTCACATTTTGTTTACTTCTTCTCATCCATCCTGGCACATTACTTTCCTATAGTAGAATATATATGTCAGTTGGATGCATGGTCCAATCACTGGCATTTTGCTTTATTATATCTGTGTTTTCTATGGCAAAGCATTTCTAACATTTTAAATAGGTTGGAAAATATTAAACATATGTATGTGACCATTTTAATTCTTTTTTTCTTTTTCTGCTTTATTTTCCTGATCACAACATATACAGGTTTCCCAAGCATAGAGAGAAACAGAATATATTACTTTCCTGAGGATTAGGACCTTGATAAAAGCAGGTCTTTCTGGGATAGAAGAATGCAGATCCTGAGGTTGAAGAGTCATTATTCAGGGGTCATCTTAAGGCCTGTGCCCTTCCAAGTTCCTGTGGTTTGCAAGTTATGACACAACAGTAGGAAGCTGCTCTAAGGCAGCTCTTAAAGAGATGTTACAAGCACAGATGAGCAGACTCCCTCTCCTCTTTGTGTGTCAGGACAGCCATGGGATGGAGACCAAGAAGGTAGCCATTTGGGGAGGCACAGAGCAGCTCTTGAAGGGGGTGGGTATGGGCCAGCACTCAGGCAGTCCTGACTGAACATGGCCTAGACGTGTGTGCCGGAGCCCTGCAAAGGCTCAAAGGTGTGGCTTTCAGACAGTGTCCCTGCTGCAAGACTAGAATTGCTTTCTAGCTCAGAATTTCCAACTGGGCCTCTGAAACCTAATTTGATTTCTTCTGCTTTAAAATGCCGGAGTTAGGCTACTGTTGCACCACAAGTATTATGCCAAGTGAAATAAGTCAGTCAGAGAAAAACAAATACCATGTGATTTCATTCATATGTGGAATTTAAGAAACAAAGCAAATGAGCAAAGAGAGGAAAAAGAGAGAGAGAGAGGCAAACCAAGACACAGACTCTTAACTGCAGAGAACCAAATGATGGTGACCAGAAGGGAGTTGGGGGTGGGGAGGCAGGAGGGTTGGGTGAAATAGGTGATGGGGATGAAGGAGGGCACTTGCGGTGATGACCACCGGGTGATGTATGGAAGTGTTGAATCACTGTATTGTACACCTGACACTAATATTACACAGTATGTTAACTAACTGGAATTTATTTATTTATTTAGATTTATTTATTTACTTATTTGAGAGAGAGAGAACATGAGTGGAGGGGAGGGGCAGAGGGAGAGGGAGAAGCAGGGTCCCCGGTGAGCAGGAAGCCAGATGTGGGCCTCGATCCCAGGACCCCGAGATCATGACCTGAGCTGAAGGCAGACACTTAACCCACTGAGCCACCCAGGTGTCCCTAACTAACTGGAATTTAAGTAAAAACTTTAAAAAATAAAATAAAATAAAATAAAATAAGATAAAATAGAATTCTTTTTTTTTTTTACACAAGAATCTTCTTTTATTCCTCTTTCCCAATCTTATTCCAATTACAGAATTTATTGGTGTTGTATATGTTAGGAAGTATATATATTCAACCACATATAAATATGTTGTTTTGGTTTGTTTGATTTTTACTTTGATATTACATATATGTATATGTATATGTATTTTTTTAAATAATTTTTTTATTGTTATGTTAACCACCATACATTACATCATCAGTTTTTGATGCAGTGTTCCATGATTCATTGTTTGTGCATAACACCCAGTGTTCCACACAGAACGTGCCCTCTTTAATACCCATCACCAGGCCAACCCATCCCCCCACCCCCCTCCCCTCTAGAACCCTCAGTTTGTTTTTCAGAGTCCATCGTCTCTAATGGTTCGTCTCCCCCTCCGACTTACTCCCCTTCATTCTTCCCCTCCTGCTATCTTCTTCTTCTTCTTTTTTTTCTTAACATATATTGCATTATTTGTTTCAGAAGTACAGATCCGTGATTCATAATAAAATAGAATTCTGTAGCTCCCTTATTTTATGACCAGGCTGATAGCTGGAGTTGGGCAAGATGAGAGATATTGCCCTAAGCATGTGACATACTTTCTTCTCTGTTTGCTACATGAAAGAAAGCAGTGAGTATAGAAAGGAGGACACTTGTGTTGGGCACTGGGTGTTACATGTAAGGGATGAATCAGTAAGTTCTACTCCTGAAACCAATATTACACTATATGTTAACTAACTAGAATTTAAATAAAAATTTGAAAAAAAAAAGAGAAAGAGAAAACAGTCTTCCCTTTAACTAAGGGCAGACCCCAGAGTTCAAATATTCTTAAGGCTCAGTGACAGTACACACAAGGATGTGGCCTTCTGAATTAAACAACGAATGAGTTGCAAATAGGTTCTGTGATGTACATCAACTCCCATGGGCTGATAGTGGCTGTTCAGTGTCCTGTGTTGAGAAGGAAGCTGAAGTCGAGCTGGGTTCAGCATACCAATGTTGGCCATAGCAATGGAATAACATGTGCCACAGAGTTGCCATTTCTAGTGTAATAAGAACAAAGACTTGAAATGCTGGCTTTATTCAGTTGTTATTATAATAAATTACCTTGGGCAAAGTAGACCCGATTTTTAGCCTTAGTTCTTTATCTGTTCCATGAAGGGTTTGTGTTGAAAGAGCTGTGAGCACTTACTCAGCAATCAGAATATACAGGATTGATGAATGGCTTACGGCAAACTTTCTAGTCCCTACTGGTCAACCCATTCAATTTTATCTATTAGGAGACCTTCAGTTGCTTCATTACCTAGTCATATTCTTTGGAATAAAAATGAGATACCACTTATACCCAAAAGAATAGCTAAATTTTCTTTAAAAATGATAATATAGAAGATGATTAAGGATGCAGAGCAACTGGAACTCTCATACATTTTTTGGTGGGATATAAAATGATACCACCACTTAGGAAAAAGTTTAGTTTTACAAGAAATTGCAATAATTTTTCCAAAGTAGATGTACCATTTTATATTTTACGACTTAGCAACTGCAGTCTTGAGAATTTAGTCAAGAGAAAACATACGTCCACAAACCAACAAAAATGTTCATGGAAACTTATTTGTAACAGCCCCAAACTGAAAAGAGCCCAGGAATTCATCAACAGGAAAATGAATAAACAAGCCATAGTATATCCATACAATGAGCACAAAAGAAAAAAAATTACATAGTATGGATAAATCCCGAAACTATAAGAAGCAAAAGAAGCCTTACATAAAATAATTCATATGGTATAATCATATATATGAAGTTCTAGAACAGGCAAATCTAATCTATGATAGAAGAAAAGGAGTGGTTGATTTGGGGGATTGGGGGTAAGTATTGATTGAGAAAGGGAATGAGAGAACTTTCTGGAGTGATGGTAATATATATTTTTGTGTATATGTATATATGTATATGTATATATATATATACACATAGAAAGAGAGAGAGAGAGGAGTTTAGGTTACATGTGAATGCCTTTGTCAAAACTCAGAAAGTGCACACTTCAGATTTGTGCATTTCATCATTGATACCACCATGGGGAAAAAAGTGTAGGCAAATACTGAATCCTAGTTAATAATTTGCAAGCTGAAGCATTTAGCACAAAGTATATTGGTGTCTAAAATTTGAAATGGGTGAAAAAATTAAGATTAACTGATGGATGGACAGAAGAACAGATAGATAACCAGACGCGATAAAACAAAAATAGTAAATGTTAATGGTAGACTACAGATGGTGGGTATACAGATATTCACTGTAGAATTATTTCAACTTTAGTGTATGTTTGAAGTTTTCCATAATAAAATGTTGGGACAGAAAACATGAAAGAAATAATCAATGTGATTTTATTTTTCCTGATTCCATGAGTGACTTTCTCTGACCATGGCTATATTCCATTGTCCTCCATTTTAGTTCCCTGCCCTCAGCTGTCACCTTCCCACCTCTCACCAGCAGGCAGTTTTCTCCCTTGACAGTTGTCTCTTCATGAAACCTTCACTACTTCCATGTCATCTTCTTCAGCTCTTAGTGGTCCATGTGCCCCCCGCCTTTCTTTGCACACTCTTGTAGCCTTAGACTTGGGTAGTTGGTACTTTGCCAGACAAAGGAATCACTTTTTTTTTAAGATTTATTTATTTATTTGAGAAAGAGAGAGAGAACAGGGTAGGGAGGGGCCGAGGGAGAGGGAGAGAGAATCTCAAGCAGACTCCCCACTGAGCATGGAGCCCAATGTGAGGCTCCATCTCACAACCCTGAGATCCTGACCTGGGCTGAAATCAAGAGTCGGACACTTAACCAATTGAGCCACCCAGGCGTCCCTAAAGGCATCTCTTTTGAGAGGAGTGGAATTCTTCTTGTCCCTGCAGATTTGTTCTTCCCTCCATCTGGCTGCTTCCCTAGGAGATCCAGGAGCCAAACAAGGGTGCAGGGCTGCAGGACAAAGGGGATGCCATCTGTGATGGGAGGGAGCGTGCCATCCTATCAGCCAGTCAGGGCTCTGAGTCACAGCAAATAGTGCTGAATGGGAACACTTGGTCCCCAGGTGGCAGACCACAGGCTTCCATGCTAGGGAAGAGACAGGAGCTAATTCTGTTTTCCAAATTGCCTTTGTTGTTCATCAACTGATATGGCATCATGGCTGATTTCACCTTCCTTGCAAAGCTGGAACACTCAACAGTATTCCTGAATTCTTTGTTGGCCACCAATACCTAGTGCGTAATGCTAAATTAAATCAAGTATTTTAAGGTTCATTTACTAAATCTATTAGGCAAGCAGACACATTTATTAAGCCAGACCTCTGTTAATCCAAGCAAATTGGCCTTTCAGAGCTCTACAAATCCAACAGGCAGCTGACTGACTTCTCTGTCTCTGTACTTTGTCCAAGCTGCAGGGCCAGCCCACGGTGAGACTCCTTGGAATAATACCTTACTCCCTGCCTAGGTTGTGGGATACATTCCTGCCCACAGAGAATCCCTTATGTGCAACAGGTCACATATTATCCACTGAGCCCAGAAAGATACTGACAAAGCTCGGGGTGACTATTTAGTTATGAGATTTCCACTTGACTAATGGAACAAGAAGCTTCAGGGAAATCTTTGAATGCAGACTACACCAGTTCCCAGACGCTGTAAGTCAAGTTAATATTGAACATTATAAAACCTCTACAATCTAAATGTATACCTTGCTAAAAGCTGCCATTCCCAAATTGGACAGACTATGCTATCACTATGCTTGCCTTACTTAAAGCCTTCAGCAGATTATACAGTTACATGTAAAAAAAGTGGAAAAGGCAAGATACATAATGGTGGATATACTATGATTAGAACTATGTAAAACAACCTGAAATATATATACAAAGACCAGAATGAAATAAAGCAAAAAGGTATCTACAGATGGGTTATGGCTTTGGGATTAATGTGAAAATTCATAGTTAGGGGAAAAAATCCCCTCAAACCTTGACACACACACACACACACACACACACACTCAGACATACATCCAAAAGCTCATCAAAAGTTTAAAGCATCACTGTCCATGAATCTGGTTCTATCTTCTGTCATCCTATCATAAATACGAACTTCAAACAAAAATCATCATTTATGCCACTCAAAGCCACCTGTTATGTATCCCCCCTTTCAGTTTTTTCTCTAAATTTCTGCCCAAATGAATCCTCTGTTTTGTCTGAATCTGTCTATACAGAACACAACCATGCCTTACCTTTCCATACAAATCTCTTGTCCTTCCTCTGCCTCAATTCTACTGTTTTTTCAATGCCAGGGTAAGACCAACTTCATCCATGAGTCACTCCATGATCAGCAAGGTGTGCAACCATCACCATCGAGGCTGTTTGACTGGGCCAGTACCATTACATTCCTACCACCATACCTTAGAGTACCTATAACTTCATATTCTCAAATAGATTATTTCTTAAAGGAAACAGATGGAATTTTCACTGATTTGTATTCCTCACAACATCTAGCACAAAATATGGGCTCTTGAAAAAGAGCCACAGAGCTACTGATGCAATTTCACATCTCCCCTGATAGGTCTGTAGGCCTATGAGACTATTATTGGATTAGGAATGCTTGTTCTCTTCTATTTACTTATACATCACAGTTGTTCACCATCACTGCCTTTGTGTCCATCATGCCTTCTCACTTGGACTATACTCTTCTTGAAGGTAGGGACAATGTTGTATATGCTCCTCTATTCCAGAGAGCACCAAGTGAAGGTCTAGATATAAAGGCAGGGGTGAGTTAATTCTTCTTGAGAACTTGATTTAATTCAACCATCTGGGTGAACCTGCCCAATTCTCTTAGTCACAACACACACACACACACACACACACACATTACTTTCCAAGGTTATTAGCCTAAGTGTTTTCTCTGAAAAATGGGATAATTTCTCCATCAGTGATGTCCTAATGATTAAATTAAATAATGTGTACGAAGAGCCTCCTACAAAGCAGAAGTAGGAATAAATGCTCAAAATTAGCTCCTTTTACAGATCAGTTTGCTACTCAAAGGGAACTAAAACACCTCCAAAATCAGAGTGCTCACCAGAACACTCAAAGACACTCACTATTTTGCTAGTCAAATATGGTGCTCATTGGATCAATTATTGGGCAATGAGGTCATCTTGATGTGTTTCTGGTATGGTGCTGCCAAAAAGCACTGAAAATACACCTCGTTCAACTGGATCAAATAACCATTCTTAGAGGTGGGAGAGAAACCTATGGAACCAAGTCAGATACACCATCGAGATGTAGATGCCATTGATGTAAATGCTGAGCACGATAGTGACTAATATTTTTAAGTACTTAGATTCTAAACACATCTAAGTTACTAATATTTACTATTACTAATTACCACTTGTTTACTATGAGGTACTAATAGTTATTGATGTTATTATTCTGACATTATAATGACCAAAACTGAGGTTCAGAGAAATTGCATGATTTGATTAAAGGCATATCACAGAAAAGAATCTGAGTCTGGACTGCAGCCCAGATTTATCTTATTTCAACACTACTCTGTGCTGGGTACCCATGCAGCACTTCATGCTCAAGCTTATAGATGGGAATTCCTAACTGAAGGAACAGGTCAGGTCAACATCAAACCAAACCAAAACAAAACAAAACCAAACTATAATGCCATTCTGTCATTTAAAATTTCCTCACTTAATATGACATATTATAGATTAGCTAGATAGATATTCCAAATAATAATTCAGTGATGTTCGTGGATTAGATATTAGTATCCTTGCTCTACCCAAAGAAAAAACACTGAGATTTAGATCAGGTGATTTGTTCAAGTGAACACAGATAATCATTAGAGAAATAGAAACTTGACTCTGCAGTCACTTTATCTACTTCTGTGTTTATTTATCAAAATTTATTGGGTATTAATCTAGTAAGGGTCTTAAAATTCAGGTCTTAGAAACTAAAGAAAAACAAAACAAAACACGGAAAGGGGAAAAATGGCACTGTAAAGAAATTCCGTGTCTCTGGCTCCTCGTGGGTTCTGAGTAAATCACTGTGTTGACGATGGCCACTAACTGCCCTCCTTGTGCACAGCAGCCTCAGTAAAGATCACCAGGTAAATGAACACTTAACAGAAAAAAATTCCCTGGCTGGAAAGCCGAAAGTTCTCAGCAGAGAAATGAACTTAAAATCCTGTTTCTAATTTTTTCCTCCCAAATGATTTTCTCTTTTTTCATTCACCATGTATGCATGCAGGATTTTAGGGTCTGTAACCTCTAGAAGACAAACACAGTGATGCAGCTAAAGCATCCTGGGGCTGGGGGTGGAGCATGGTAGCTGGGAGTTAGGAGACCGGGCTCTACAATTAACCAGATGTTTGACCTTGGGATGCTCATCTCACACAAGGAGCTTTACTTCTCTAATGTACCAAATGGGGATCTTAATAACCAACACCTGTATCTCTTGCCCTGGTGAATAATAAATTCAGAAATGCAAAAGCATTGTAGCTTATACTAAGAAACTGACTTGAAAGTATACAGCACCAACAATTCAAACAGAAAAGGGTCCCTTGGGTCCATAAGTGTAGTTCTTTTGTCAACCCATCCTAACTCCCAATTTTTATATCAAAATTAAAAGCATCTATTTAGTGAGTACCTAGTGTGTGCCAGAGAGATATATAGCATCTCCCTTAGATTTCATAACAGTCAAGATGATATAGGTATTATTCTCTCCAGTTTGTGTTGAATGAATTAAATTTGGGTCAAATGACTTCCTCAGGCTCACACAGCCAGCAGTGTCACTGTGACTCCAAGGTCCATGTTTTCACCACCATATCATGCTGCCTCCCTAAGAAAGAGCAGGGGTGAATCTTCTCCCACTCTTACCATGCAGGGGCTGAAGTTCTTTTTGGTCATCTCTAAACAAACAAAGCCATCATTGTTCATTCTTTTTTTAAAGGAATTACTACATCAGAACTGAGAATTTATTTCCCCTTTCTTGAGATGTCCAGCATTTCTAAGTCTGATATGATATCTTTATTAAATTATTTTTTTTTAATGAAAGATCTCAGGGTGCCTGGGTGGCTCAGTCGGTTAATCATCTGACTCTTGATTTCAGCTCAGGTCATGATCTCAGGGTCATGGGATCAAGCCCCATTTCAGGCTCTACATTCAGCACCAAGTCTGCTTGTCCCTCTCCCTCTGCTCCTCCTGCACACGCTCTCTCTCATAAATAAATAAATAAATAAATAATAAAATCTTTTTAAAAAATGAAAGGTATCTCTAAGATGAGCAATGCCAATCACATCAAGAATGGCCAAGGAAAATGTAAAGATAAAATCAGGAATAGAGAAAAACATTAAACCCTTACATTTAGGGACCCTCAGCCTAACTGCTCCAAGCTCCTCTTATATAAGTGTGGTCATTGTTGACACAACTGTCACCATCACCAGTAGCTGGGAGCAGGGGGGATGTGCCAAGTTCAGAGTCTGGCCCTCTGAGTTCCCTTCTTAGAGACTTGTCGGCATCGCCACCATTCCTAAAATGAACCTTGGCCTTCGTAAATCACCTAGTAGGTCTTGGAGAAGGGTTCTTTACATGCATTGCCCCATTTGATTTTCACAGCCCTGCATTTAGAGAGAGAATTCACATTTCCAGATGGAGTCACTGGATCTCAGAGATGCTAAGTGACTCCTTTAACATTATCTATGTTGTGAGTGGAAGGCCCAGTATTAAAAAAAAATAGGGCAAATGAAGTTTTAAAAATATTGATTATGGAAGCAAGTTTGTAGAGCTTCTCAAGGTAGTCTTTCTTCCTTAGGATTGTTTGAACTTTCCCTATTATAATAATGAACCTGGTATAGAGACGTATGTGATATTCAATTATGTGGATTCATAGCTTTATTAAGTACTCCCTATTGCTCCCATCCCCGGTGCCCCCAACATCAACATGGCAGCTGGAGCATAGGAGAATTCAGTACAGATCTACTCAAACATGCATCAGAAAGGGCCAAACCTTCGTGCTATTGCCAAACCACCAGAAATAGGTAAGGGTCCCCAGCTGACTGGGCCACACAACTGCACTGATGTTGACCTCCTTATTTCTTATGGCGACAAATGGCACTTGGAGATGAACATGCTCCACGGGACCTGGGGGAACATGGGAAACAGTGTCAGTTTTTCTGTTCCTGGAATAAACAAACTTTATCATACTCCCAGATTCTTAATCTTAACCCCATTACCATAAACTATAATAAAACAAGGATCACAAACTCACAAATGTTGAGATGTGTGTGTGTGCTTGAAACAAAGCACCTTGTATAATAGGGAACTCAAATCAGGCTTCAGAATTTTTGAGTGACATCTGAAATTCATTTACATCTGATGTGCCCAACCATGAATGCTTATGAACCTCCAATCCAAGGACAAACTAGTTGACTAGACACTTAGCCAATAAATAGGAAGAGAAACAGCAGTCTCTTTCATTTCTGACAATTAGCCTGTATTGTGATGTGGGGTCAGTGCATCACATGGAGGGCTCTTCCATTATCCTTGATGGTTAATTGGTTCCATCCTCTTCAACAATCCGCCATTGTGCTGGTCATCTGCAATACTCAGTGGGTGTCATTCAGAAGCTGGCAAGGCTGTTTTACAAAAGGAAAACGTGTCTCTCCCTAAATCAAAGGAGAAACAAAGGCCACATTCCCAAAGAATAAAAAAAAAAACTGCTTGCAGAAAGGTGACCAAATTTCTCTTCTTTCCCCTCAGAAAACTGATATGGCAGCAAGAGAACCTACATGAGCAAACCCTACCCATAATAAATGAGGACTGTAATTTAATTCATTTCCAAGACAAAATGAGAAGAGGAAAGAAAATGCCGATGAGAAATATTAACGTGTCAGTGTCGCACTCTGGGATGGGGATGTTATTTTTCAACTCTGGGGGGTTTTCTCCTTCTCCCCACTCCTTCCTCCCCTCCTTTCCTTTTTCTCTTTCCCTTCTTCCCTTCTTCCTCCTTTCCCTTCCTTATATCTCTCCTAGGTAGCCAAATCCAATTAAAGTATTCTAATTAGCTGTTTACACTCTGCTAGTGCATAGTTTCCCAGTTTCCACTGTGCTAGAGCTGATGTGCAAACATGGCTAAAGGTCGAGACTGCAGTCCGAATGTCTCCTTAGCCTGGGGGCCCTGAGTTCTTCTCACAGGTGGGGCATTTTCCTGATCACTCAGCCTTCACTATTTACATCGTGGGTCACTTTGGGGACAGCTCAGCTTAAAGGGAAGACAACAGATGGCTTCTTCTCATTTCTGGTCTGGTTTAAATGTAGCTGTGTGATCTTTTCCTCCATCTTCCAGAGCCTTGACCCTACACAGACTATTTCCATGCCCCCTGCCTTCCTTATAGGAATAAGAACATATGAATAGGATGTGTGGATGTTAAAAGTACTATCGCATTAGTTATGGGTTGGCACAATTTCTACCACCATCATCACCACCATCACTGTCTCCATGTATCATTGGGTAGATGTCCCTCAAAAACAGCGGGAGTTTGTCTGAGTCTCACGGTGTTGTAGGTAGATTTATATTGGGGGAGAAGATGTTGGGACAAAGACTGATGTTTAAGTGAGGGGAGCAGCTTGGTCAGCTTGTCCCTGTCCACACTGTACTTTCCAGAACAAGCAACAAGTGTTCGAGAATCTGTGTATCTACCGCCTGAGAATACTCTCTGCCTACAGCCTGACCTGACCACAGACAGATGACCCTCAAGGTTTCTCCCAGCAAATAATTTCTTCTGGCAAATCATTTCAACCTTGCTGCTTCAGAAACACATTTGCCTGAAGGGTTAATTATTTTCAATAAGAAAGTCTGCTCGATTATTTTTGTACGGTTTGATTGTTGGTGAAAATAAAAAAAGAAAAACACAAGGTATGAGAAAACACTGGCTCTTTTTGTGACTTTATTTACTCATTTGTAGGACTTTATCTGATTTATCTTTCTTTGTTGGTGGTGTTTTACTGATCCGTGGGGAAGAGAATGAGGCCGTAGGAAGGAGTGCCCAGCCAGCCGTGTCCTGGCAGGGAGGCGAGAACTCTGTGTCTTACGATAACACCTCAGTCTTTCTCGGTGCCCAGATGCAGAGCTCATTCCTCCCCTGCTGGGCAAAGGGCCCTTTACCCTTAAAGTCAATGCTCCTGTTATTTCTCTCCCTCAAAATGCATGAAGCTCATTCCTCTGCCAGCTCTTCAGAACCCCAGGCCTTTCCACAGTTAAGTGACAATACTGCTAATGGCTTCTGGCCCTGGAAATTCTTCTCAGCTTTCTGTCACTCAGGGGCCTTGGCCCAGCCACACACTGTCAGGTACCTATGCCTAAAGAAATAAAAGGAGATCTCCTTCTCCCTAAACTCATGCCAAACAAAGGGATATGGCTTCCATGAATTGGCACGCCATCAAACATAATCACATTTATTCCAGCTTTAAGACAAGCATGTTTGGCTAAATCGAATCTCAAGGAACAACAACATGTAACAGCTTTTTAGGGCAAAGAACCTGAGCCAGAAGCTCCAGGCTTCAGCCTAGGGATGGACACACCATAAATCAGGGAGAAGAGAGCTGAAGGGAACACAGCAAACTCCTAAAATCCTGTCAAATAGTGCTCTCTTTGATAAAAATCTAATAATCTATGTGAGATTGGTTATTATGGGTGGCTAACAGCTACTTTTGTTAGCTAATGGCCCAAGGTGAGGCCAAGAGCAGTTTCCACTATAATAACTGTCTGGTAAATGCAGCCATGATTGATGTGGAGGGAATTATGAGTGTGATAAAAGTTTCAAGGAACATTTCCTCCTTCATGCACACAACCCACAGTATAAATTGGTTCCTTGCTGTTGTATTTTTTGCCACTAAGATACACTGGTCTTTGCACCCTTCAGGCAGGTCCACTATTGGTGGAATTAGGAATATGGGTGAGGCAGGGGGTTGGGATAGAGGAAAGTAAAATTTCTCTCTTTGTCTTCATTTTTAAATGCAACGGAAGTGCCAGGCAGAAAGTTAGTGGGTAGTATTTAGTAATTACTAGAACAGGTCACATTCATCATGTGCCAAGCTGGGTGGTAAGTGGCATTGTATACTGTGCAGGGAAATGTTAACATAGACTTGAAATTGCCATCCTTAGAAAGACTTGTGTGCAAGATTGGTCCTTGCTAGCATCTGGAAACTTGGCTTTGAGAGAGTTTCCAGTTAACACGTAAGTGATAAGAGTGGTTCAATATGCCTAGACTGTTTATGCCAATAATACGGTTTAATCTAAATATGTATTTCCCTTAGGATGTCTGGAATTCTGGCATATGCTAGGCAGAGGATGCCTACTTGACCAGTCCCCAATAAAACCATGGGTACCTTATGACCCAGCAATTGCACTACTGGGTATTTACCCCAAAGATACAGATGTAGTGAAAAGAAGGGGCACATGCACCCCAACGTTCATAGCAGCAATGTCCACAATAGCTAAACTGTGGAAGGAGCCCAGATGTCCTTCAACGGATGAATGGATAAAGAAGATGTGGTCCATATATGCAACGTAATATTACTCAGCCATCGGAAAGGATTAATACCTACCATTTACATCAATATGGATGGAATTGGAGGGTAGTATGCTAAGTGAAATAAGTCAATCAGAGAAACACAATTATCATATGGTTTCACTCATATGTGGAATATATAGAATAGTGCAGAGGACCATAGGGGAGGGGAGGGAAAACTGAATGGGAAGAAATCAAAGAGGGAGACAAACCACATGCAACTCTTGACTCTGGGAAACAAACTGAGGGTTGTGGAAAGGGAGATGGGTGGGGGAATGGGGTAACTGGGTGATGGGCATTAAAGAGGGCACGTGATATGATGAGCACTGGGTGTTGTAATCAACTGATGAATCATTGGACATTACATCAAAAACTAATGATGTAGTATAACTAGGTTAATTGAATTTAAATAAAACAATAATTAAAAAACAAAACAAAACAAAACACAGGTACTGAGTCTCTAAGGAGTTTCTCTGGTAAATAGTCCTTCTCACGTGTTGCTAAAAATCCTTGCTGGAGGAATTACACATGTCTTGTGTGACACCATCGGGGGAGGACTCTTTGGAGGTCACAACTGGTTTCCTCCAGACTTTGCCCCATGGCTCTTTTCCCTTTGCTGATCTTGCTATTTCCCCTGTAATAAATCATAGTCTGAGTATGATTATATGTTGAGTTCTATGAGTCCTCTGAGTGAATCAACAAACATGACAGAGTGATCTTGGGGACACCTGAACCACACATATAACCCAATCTGATTCTCATAGGTTCCCTATAACATAAGTATTCAAGATGAGGAATCAGAAGTTTGTAAAGAGTGTGAAAGTTGACCAATATTATGTTGTTTATATGTTTAACAAAGGGATATGATCAGATTTCAAACAGAGGTCCCTTTGCTCTAAACCCTGGCTTATGAATACCTTGCATACCACTTGCCTGGGTTTTTGACCTGGTGCTTCTGGCACAGAATGAGTAGAATTGGTGGAGTGTGGCCCATTTCTAGCAGCCCCTGCCCTCCCCCACCAGAAGGTAAACTCTGCCAGGCCGAGGCAATATCTGTATTGTTGCTTTCCCAGGTCCTTGCAGAATGCCTTACATATATATATTAAGAACTCAACAGATATTGTTGAATAAATTAGTGAATAATTGGATGTTTTCTTTATATTTCCTATTTGTTGTTATAAGAGCCCCATGAGGCAAAGTGCCAGTTAGAATTAAGCCATTTTAAAGTTGGAGTTCAGAAGACCCACAGAAGAAATAACTTATCTCATGGCCATGTAGCCTGGCATCTTTAGGGACAGAACTGATCTATAATCCAGGTGTCCTCCCATGCACATCCCCTATCACTGTTGGTCCTTACGCTACTATTAGTATCAAAATGCTAGGAGACTAGGTGGCTTATGGTTTTCCAGAAACCTTTTAAACGTGGGTTGTTTATATAGTGGAATTTGTCATCACTCAGTTGGAGGTACTCCTTGTATTCACTTAGACTCTTTTAAATATACATTTCACCATAAGTAGCATATTACCCCCAAAACATCGTGGGGTATATAAATTAGAACTACAGAATCCCTTAGGCCCATGAATATCACTGATAAGGGCATACGAAATCCATACCAGACCCATAACCACATGTTTTGACCCAACATTCTAAAATCATAGTATTTAAGTTTTAGTTTACATGAATTAAGTCCCAGGATAGCGGATACACAAAACGTATCCCGGACAAAGTACTTTGGAAGTTCAGCTGTTGTTTGCTTTGTGACAAGCAACAGTCAATAGCAATGAAATACATTCTCGGACAACAACAACAACAACAAAAATTGGAGAGTCTTTACAATTGTTCATAACAGGAATGAACTTGCAGTAACCTTGTATGTAAGAATTAAGTTATTTTGTGTGTTCAGGACTACAGTTTTAAAAATCCAAACGTGTCTCTTTAATCCTTCTTTGGCTCTTCCAACAGAGATTAGAAACTTACTTTGACTTGGGCTGCCTTCACTTATCATAGCAGCTTGAAAGTGAACCTGTGGCCGTGAACCAGATGAGTTTCTTCTTCCTAGATCCTTACAAGTCTCCAAAACAAAGGGAAGGGACTTTGACACGAATGTGTGTCTGCATGTGTACACTTCCATCAGAACACAGTGGAACTGAAAAGAAGGGGCCAGTTGGGAATGTTACCCCAACTTGCAAAATAATCGACTTCAGTATCAGAAAACTGAAACACGGAGGAGCACACATCTCAGTCTTTCAATTTGGGTCATTATTTGGGGTAGTAGTCACACCAAATCTAGTCTCAGCTCTGCATCCCAAAAGTCTGCGGACAGCGGGAGCTGCCGACTGGAAGGCACATAAGAAAGGAGACGGTTCAGGCTACTTACAAACCACATGCAGGAAGAGGACAGCTGTGTCCGAGCCCAGGTTGTTCTCCGCATAGGCCGTCACCTGGAAGATCCCCGCACTCTTGTACACGTGCTTGATGCCATCCTCAATGGGGCTGAAGTTAGCATAGGACACCGCAATTCCATCCCCAAAGTCAACCTGGATGTTTGTCCTTTGGAGATCACCCTGAAGGAGGCGGGGGCGGGGGGGAGGGAAGGGGGAAGAGCAGTTGGCCGGGGCTCATTCACATGGTCCCGTCTGACTCCTATTGGATGCTTTGTCCCGTGCCTTCGGCATCACCCTCTTGGGAAACCAGAGCCTCTCCCAGGGGGCTGAAGCACCCTCCACACAATCATCAGACTCTTATCAGATATCCACTGGGGCACTATAGGCAGGTATTATGGACCTGTTATCCCCGCATGCCCAGGGCTTGGGGCAGCCTGAGCTGGTTGAATGGGTGCTAGGGGATAGCGTAAAGCCTCTAGGGAGCTCTGGAGTGGGAAGGCCAAGAAATTCCCTGGCTCCCTCACACACTTGGTTGAATTATTCCTCTCCTGTGTCAAAATCATAACAATAGCAATAATAGTAACAGCTAACACTTAAAAAGTTTCTTTCCAGTTCCAAGTAATTAATCTCCTCACAACTTTATAATGCAGAAAGCCTTACTTCCAATTTTACAAATGGGGACAAACAGAAATTAAGTAAGTAGACCCAAGTCTCACAGCTAGTAGTGGAAGAGTCAAGTTTTGAACCCAGGCAGTCAGGTTTCAACACTGATGATCTCAACTACATTGCTATAATTATAATTGTTCCTATGTTTTAAGATTTATTATTATGTTCTAAGCATTATGCTAATCACTTAACACATACTCTGTACACTTTCAAAATAACTCTGTGAGGTAGGATGATTATTCCCAGTCTAGACATGAATCCTGCATAGCAATCAGAATTACATCTGTGGTCTGTTGACCTTGGATTTCCCTAAACCTGCCAAAGCCCCTCTTCCCGGAAGCCTTTTCCAACCATCCCAGCTCACAGATATCTCTGCCTCTTGGAAGGCCAAGAGCCCCCTGGGTGCTGCCTGGTGGTGTTGCCTGGTGGGGTAACGGCATGGGTTCAGGTGAGTGCGTCTTACCATCCCAAGCTGATGCTAGGCTTCTTAAGAGATGATGCTGAACCCCACCCTTCTTTGTTCTTCTTCCCACTACACTGGGTCAATGACTTTGGATAAATGCAATTGAACCTGACCACAAAACAAGGATCCTGGATGAAAAAAGAAGAATCGGCTCTCTCTATTTACATGGTGGTAAATAAATGGTTGTAGATGGTTGATGGAATAAAAAGGGATATACATCATTTTGGAATTATGAGCCAATCCTTCTGTCCAGTGAACGTGCACTGATCACAGTTTCATGTTCTGCCTCTTCCCCTGTGGCAACCCAGATGGGAGTGAAATATTGATACGTGCTCCCTTGCCCCCGCACAATGGTGACTACCCTTGAGTTTATGAATATAAATTGAAGTGGAAATGAACTGGAGGCAATTCAAATGGATAAGATCATGGCTCTTCTCATCCATTCAAGAGAAGGTTTTTATAATGCTGGTCCTGGAAACTCCCTAGTGGAAATGTGATAATGACCTCCTCTGAATCTTAAAGTCCTTTAATTCAAGTGCCCAGTGTGGGTGACGGCTGAAGAATCTGTCAACCCAGGATAAGGAACCTTCACAGTCCTGTTCAGTATGGGCCAGACTTTAAAGGTTTCTAAAGTATTCACATTTGGGAAAAAAAACTCCTGGCTTGCTTTGGTCTCTTTCCAAGATCTGAAGAGCACAGAGCAATTTGCATACAAATTTAGAGGGCTTTGCAAATCAGGCAAGCTTTCTTGCCCCACCACCTCAGCAAGGAGTGCCTGAAAAGCTCCCTGGTTTGGGAAAGAGATGAAATAGCTCATATAGGGAGCAAGAAGCATATGACAGAGCTATTTCCATCCTGGAATGAATGAATGCAGGCTGATTTTACTGCCCCGATTGCAAAAGACACAAAAAAGTGAAATAATGGAGCAACTAGCTGATGGAAAAGCAACTAATGTGACATTCTTTATACAAATAAGTTTAAAGGATGGCAATAATCTTCCCCCACACTCACACTTATACTTTTAAGACCCTTTGAAAGCCTTGTGAGCTTTTTTAATCAGGGGGGTTTAAGGGTTAGAATAAAGCAAAGGAGGCTCCCGGGAGCAATAGAAAAAAATATGAATTCCCTTCTTCTGGCGAAGTTTAGAGTATATGGTCTTCTGGTGATAAACATTCCTCCAACAAAGCAGACCCTAAAGGGGGACCTCAAAGAATATATCCAGATCTGTATCTGCCCAGAGACAAGTGGGCCCCTGCAGCCTGGATCTGTGATGTGGGATGAAGGGAAGAGGGTCCCTAAATATCTAAGCCTTCTTTCACCCTTTGTGTCTTCTCAGCATTGACTCTGGGGCTGGGACCTGTGAGGACACATGATCTTTTTCTTCCCTCTCTAGAAACAGTGAGTTATGACCTCAGAGATCCAGGACAACACATACCTCCTCCATGAGGATGATGAAAGTCGCATTATGCCCCTGCTCTGCCACCAGGCGTCCGTCGGTTGTCACCACATGGAGGCCTCGAGGGGCTTTTCCAGGACACACCTGGGCCTTGGCCGTGTACTTCTCCCTCAGCCCATCCGTGCAGTTGTTGGACACAATCCGCCGGTACCTGAGGAGTATTGACAGTTGTCGGTGGTGTGGGGTGAGTGTGCGTGCGTGCGTGCGTGTGTACACATGCTCAGGTTAGAAAAAGAGTGCAAGAAAGCCAGAGGGAGAGATGTTTCACACAGCTGCTCCTAAAAACTGAGTCTCAAAGAATGCAGCCATTTAAGAAGCCAAATAAACGCTGAGGAGCTGCTATCCCTCCATCTGAGGAAGAGCAGCTCTTTAAACATTATTATTGATCCTAACTGGTGAGCCACGGATCAGATCAGTGTCTAAACCAGCCAAGAAAAATCAATGTCTGACTCACATGCAAGACGGAAGGAGGCAGAGCCACTGGACTAGTGGAGCAAGAAAAGCAAGTGCTCCTTTCTGTGAGGGAGGGACTTGTTTGTACTTCCCTATGGCCGTCTCCAGTTCTCTCTGTAGCGAGACGCAGCTAGAAGATCAGACTCCTAACTCCGATTCATCAGGAAGCCTTTTCCTGCCTTCCCTCCACCCCCAGGATGTCAATCCAGCCTTTCCTACTTACTAGTCCTGGCTCTGGAGCCACTGGGCTATTTTATAGCACATTTTCTCTCCTTACTAATATTTCACTTCCCACTCAACACAAATGCCAGATCAGAAGCGCACATTTGAAGCTCCTATGCAATCCTGCTGAGGGAAAATTAGCTCAGAAAAAGCATGGGAAACCTCCCCACAAAGCACTGTGGCCTTTTAGGACAAGGGCATCTTTGCGCACAGTGATGCCACGTCATGTCACTTGACCACTGATCTGAGCACAGGAAGCTGAGCCAACAGCTTGTCCACTGTCCTGACCTGTAGGATAGACACTATTTCCACTATCTATAAAGCTGCATACAATCAACCTCCTGGTAAATGCACATAATATAAATGCACCACCACTATCATTATATCACATCTTCTTTTACCCTGTATGTCAGGAGTAATTAACCCAACCATCCATGTTGCCTTCTTCTGATGGCCCTTCAGTTGAAAGCAGATGAAAGAAAAATCCTTTATGAATGATATTTATCTTCCACTATACCTGATATTTACCCTGGTCCTTTCTCCATTTCCCACCCCCCAAACCCTGCTGAACTACCAGCCCGACATCTCCATCCAAAGATCTCAGGAGGATGTTAGGCAAATGTTGTGTGTAGTTACTACCTCAGACAGAATTACAACATACCCCCTTGCAGATACACGTTATTTTTAATTGCCAGCTGAGCTCATAATGGGTCTAGAGCTGTTGCTGTTCAATATGCTAACCATTTTTTACCTGTGGCTATTGAGCACTTAAAATGTGGTTAGTCTTGTACGTTGAAATGACACTATTTTGGACATACTAGGTTATATAAAATATATTATTAAAATTAACTTTGCCTTTAAATTTTTCTTAATGTAGCTACTAGAAAATTTTAAATTACATATGTGGCTCATATTATATAGTTCTTTTGGTCAGCACTAGTCCACATAATCAAACTTCTGTAATCAACTTATACTTTTTTGCTGACTTTTAGTCATTTACAAGATATTTAATTTTTACTTATGGCAGATATTTTGGTAGGTGCCATATCCTAACGTGAACTGGATATCCTCTACTCTTCCTCTTCAATCTCAACTGGCCAGCTGGTTAACAATTTGTAATGTAAGCCAACATTTAAGCAACCTGGAGATATATGTAGACATTTGTAGTAAGTCTTCTGAAAAAATACAAACTGTCTTTCCTTTTCATCTCCCTGATTTATTTGGTTGGCTCTTTGGGGTTCTGTTATATCTAAGTTGCTTAAAATTGGGTGTGCCTATAGGAGATGTTGTAATGCAATTCTCTTCCAAGTCTGTCCAAGGTATGCTCTGGCTTGGAATCTGGAGGCTTAGCTGATCACTTGTCCCCATCATATTCCTCTTCCTCAAACTTCATAGCACTATGCTCTCTGATACCATATCTCTTTAAGTTCATGCCGCTGGATCTGTAGTGTGAATGGCTTCAATCCCTGAACCAGACACCTACGATAAAATAACATCAAAAGTGCTTAAGCCCCATCTCAAGCCCCAGCAACAGTACCCTAGAACCAAATATTGAGCTAAAAATTCTTGTTTTCCAGTAGCTCACACAACTCAGCACATCTCTTCCATCACTTTTTTTTTTCCCTCTGTAGACATCACTTGGATTGATGGTACCTACCAGTATTTTATATCCAGAGAAGGTAAAAGTACTGAGATGGTGAGTAACTGGTGTGAAATGGCAGAAGATCCACTGGAAGAGTTGAGACAGGAGTCCAGAACACCTTCATCCTCTGCTACTCAAAGAGTAGTCCTGGGACCAGCAATGACAACATTGCCTGGGGGCTTCTCAGAAATGAAGAACCTCTCAGACCCACCCCAGATCTACCAAATTAGAAGCTGCATTTTAACAAGATCGCCAGGTGATTCACAGCACATGAAAATTTGAAAGGTGCTGTCTCAGACCACCAATCCATTTTCCAAATCTCTTCTGGGCCATCGAGGTGGCAAAGGAGAGGGGAAGACAACAAGTCTTTAAGGCAATATTTTATCAAGCACTTGAGTAACTGTATGTGAGCAGAGAGAGAAACACACATATAATCTGACAATTAAAGAAAGTGTAGCTTGACCTTCTTATTCCAGGAAGCCCCAGAATGGGACTTCTGAATTTTCAGTTTCAGTTTCCAGCATTAGTCTAGGAGAGCTTCAGTCCATCCATCCCTGGAGGGCACTGTAACACGTGCATACCATTTGTATTAGTTTTTTTCAGGGTCCCCAAAATAAGGTGGCATCTCTTTCCAGAGGATAAGGCCTGACCAAAATAATAGCTATGGTCTGTCAGAGGCAAATGGAAAAAGGTACTGAAATCTAGGAATCACAAATCTCTTCAGATGTTCCCAAAAAAGCTAAAGAACTCCTCAGCTTTCCTCAGAAGCCACTTGTAAACAAACTCTCTATGCTCCAGCTTGCTTCAACAGAAATGCTACCTTTGATACCAACCTAGGGAAACAGAAGAATAGCGATTAGAGTTTCTTCTGGTGTTTTACTTACCCAGTACTGTTAAGGTAACTTTGCCCAAGGCTGCAGTCCTTTGATGGGGATGCTGGGTTGTACCAGAAAGCTGGGACACACTGGCTCTCTCCATGTCTCTCATAGCCATAGTCACTGTTCAGAAAATGAATATTGCACACTGGTATAGATGCACAAATGCTAAAACACACCCCCATACACACAAACACAAATACATCCCTACAGCCTTCCAAAAAGCCGCAATGCATTTTTTCAAATATTCCCAGCAAGACAAATATTCGTACTTTGTGAATGGAGTTTTAGATTTAGAAATAATCCCAAATCATTAGAAATCCAGTGTAAAGAAAGAATAGTACATTATCAAATGAAGATACCAGGTAAAAAAAAAGGTATGGATGTACATCCTATAGCAGGTACCCTGGCTGGAGGTGGGTGTCAGGATTGCTGGAAGTTTAAAAGCATCCTCTGGATCACAGTGGAATTACTGACAGAAGTAGGTGACAATGACAACCAAGAAGATGATTTTAAAGGTCAAGATTCACTTCTGGGTAAGAGTCCACAGATGTTATTCCAAAATTAATTTCATAGATTTTATTTTAATTTTTCCTATAAATTCTTTCTCAAACAAATATATACATTTGCATTCATATAATACAAAGAGCCATTCAAACTGTCCCAAATACATATAACACAGGTCCCCTGTTTCCCTACAGCCAACAACACAAAACTGTGGTTCTTTTCCACATTTTCATGAAAGCCTAGCTATGATAAAATAAAGAAATTCAGGTATGATTCCCTTCTCCTTCCCTCCCATTTCAAAATGAAGAAGTAATAGACCAGTGTAGAGAGGAGGGCCCCCATCTGAAATGCAAATGGTGTTTCCTTACTTCTTGGAGTTTCATAAGGCTCCCATAGGCATAAATGTCAGGGTAGAAAAAGAGCAATAAAGTATTATTGCTCTTGAAACCAACCAGAGGTCAGTGAGGGTGACTTCACTTGGCAGGAGAATTCATGTTTCTAAGTTAAGCATCCTGAAACCCACAGACCAGGCAGAACAATCTGGACATTTGAATATTGATCCATTGAGTGTTAATGAAACATAAAATAGCAAGGAAAGTCACTCTCTCCAGACCTACCCCTCCTTTCTTTTTCTGCTCCCGTGTTCTTTGAGCCAAGATTTAATTAAAGCCCAATGAAAATGGAGGCAAATTTTGGTCTATGTGTGTGACTAGGGCAGAAATGGAAGGAAGATAGGAATACAAGTTCAATTCCACGTTTATTTATTACTCAATATGTGCACTGTCCTGGGAAAGAAGAGCAACAATCCTTGCCCTCAAGGCCTTTTGAGTCTTTGGGGAGAGGGATACAACATGCCTCAAATCCAACCGAAGGACATAGAGCATGAAGCAGAACATGATGATACGGTATGAAGTGGTACAGTTAGGAAAGCACCAACTGATTATATAAAATGTCCTCCCAGCATTGCCACACCCTATCTCCTCACCATCTTCCTCTACACCAAACTCCTGCCTGACCAGTCCAGACCAACTTTTCAACCCTCTTTGTCTCTGCATGTGTTATTCTCTGGGCTTGAAGCCCTCTACCTTGTCTGTGTCTGACAGTTTGCTAAGTATCCTTCTTCAATATCTAGGTCAGATGACGCCTTCCCTGACTCCCCAGACAAAATCTCTGTGACCACAGCATGTTGGAAACTCTGAAGCTAATAGAGATCTCTGTTGGTTTTGTTTGCCAATATAAGAGTTCAGACCAGTACTTAGGATGTTGGAGGTACTAAATATTTACTGGGTGAATGAATACTCCACTTATGTTTAAAAATCACACTAATTATCTCATTGCATTGGGTCTATCTGTGCAGGGAGATGTGAGCCCATAGTTGACCTTCCTGTGTGGACCACAGAAAGCATCCCAAGTGCTCCAGATTCCTGAGCTAGGAAGGTGGAACTCAAGACCAGCCTTGATATATCATGGCCATGTTTATATGAAACTGGAAGAAAAGGAGAAAGGGACATGTCTGTCAAGCAAATTTTTAGCCATGCCTCCTGATCAATGATTGGAGATCTCCCAGCCTGCAAGTTCACTGTGGACTCAGTGTTGTGGCAGCTTGTAACTGCTCGTGAGAATGGACTTAAAATTTCTGGAATTTTGCAAGCTCATTAATGGTTGTTAAACACAGCCATTATCAAAACTTAAGTTATTTCAATTTTAATGAAATAAGTTATATTTGAAAGGTAACAAACACTCAAACACAGATTCCTCATGATTTTGTTGTATTTATTATTATAAAAATATTATTTTATATACAAAGCATTATGTATTATAATTTTACCTATGCTCCTGAGGTTATTTACCTTTATGTACCTGTGTGATAAAAAGACTATATAATGTTGTGCTACTGCACATCTCTTCTCAATTCTGTATTCACTGATGTTATGTTGGTAGCTTGAAATTGGCCACATTTGGGGATATTTATAGCAATCAGCAAATGCTACTAATGAGGGCTTATTTATTTGTTCCAAGAGAGCCGGTAGTTAGATATTTACCAGCACAGCACTGAATATCTGATTTCCAAGCATTGCTTACCTGTAGAAACATTTGGGCTGTGGTGTGTCTGCACTGCTTCTGGAAAATTCCCCACCTGCTATATGACTTAAATCTATTGAATGTTCTGCTAACCCTAAGAGATATTAGTAATCTTTGAAGGAAGGGTGCCCTCCTAAACAGCTTCGGGAAGGAGAGAAATGTCTTAATGCTCTTTCCTAAATGTAACCATCTTTAGCAGTTCTGTTCAGCTCTGCTACCTGTTAGCGATGCAGTAATTAAAAAACGTGCATCAGGCATGCTGTTTTGCCCCAAAGAGGAAAAGCACCTCATTAATATTTAATAACATTAACAGAAACATCACTGGCTGCCCCTAAGCTGTGGACTTCTTCATTAACTTCTGCTAAATGTATATTAAAATCTCATACTGCCCAACCTACCCCCCAGCTCTTGCGTTTGCATGATTTCAACAAACAAGCAGTTCCAGCAGCTGCTCCAACTTCCTGGGGGAAAGGTGTTTTTCTGTTGAATTGTGACATTTGGAGAGAATGTGCCAGAAAGTCTGATTTGCCTCGGGGAAGTATGCTGCCACAGCTTCGGCAAACACACAAGCAGTTTCCTTCCAGAAATAAGTCACCTCTGCATCTTTCTTGACTATAAAAGGGTTTAGAACTTCTAAAACTTTAGGGAGAAACTTGTCCATTTCCAGGAGATGTATGTCCTCCAAATCCCATTCAGGGAGAAGCCTTAGACCATCTAAAGAAGGAATAGACAAACTTCAGAAATCACAAAGTTTCTGCATATCAGAACTGGAAGGGATGCTTGTATTCATTGGGTCTAATCCTCTTAGTTGGTAGATTGGGAGGGAGAAGCAAAAGAGGAGAAGTGACTTGTTCAAGATTGTACACAGCTGACAATGGCACATGGAGGTGATAATGGAGACTCCTGACCCTTGAATCAGCATTAGTACAATCTCATGGAGCACCCACTTAATTGTCATAGGGAGGACCCCCTGGTCCCCAGGAATGACATTCTGAGACTCTTGGAGCCCACCCAGAAGTCATGGTCTCTGCTGGTGCAGCTGCTGGGGCTTTCCTACTCTCAGGCCACACACAGCCCTATCATTGCTTCACGGACCCCCAGTCACTCCGTTCTCCCATTTGGCAGCTGAGATTCCAGAAACAGTCCTCCACAGGTGTTTCTGTCCCATTTTAGGAGACAGAATCGCCTGCTGGTTTGGGATTGGGCAGATAGAACTTTTTGGCAGGCTCAGAGTGAACGCTCAACAAACTGGAGCAACCATAACAAAAACATCAATACAAACAATGGAATAATAATTAACATCGTCAGCATTTTGCTAGGGCATAAGCCTAAATATAGGCATAGAGAAAGATGATTACATTCAAACTATTTCAGAAACTGTTTGAATAACCCAACAAGCATCCCTCAAATATTTCTCCTTATCAAACCCCATGCTAGCCATCTGCCCTCATCCCTCTACTCATCAACAACTCATCCCTCAACTCATCCCTCTACTCATCAACAGTCTCATACAACTGCTTTTTTCTGCAGTGCTGCCCTTATTCCTTGTACTCGACAGAAAGTCTACACAGCTCCATCACCACCTCCTACAGGAAGGCTTCCATCATTACTCCTGTCTTCAACACTCTTTGCTCTGACCATCTCTGGCACTTACAGGTAGGAACAGTGCTGTCTGAAAGAACCTTCTCTTCTACATCTATGCTATCCAATATGGTAACCACTAGCCACGTGTGACTACTAAACACCCAAACGTGGCTAGTGCAACTGAAGAACTGAATTTTTAACTTTATTTATTTTTAATGCAAATAACCACATGTGACTGGTGACACATTAGACAGCATAGGTCTGGATTATAGAATTTAGTCCCTAGTAATATTATTATTTGCTGTTACACTTTCATTGAGTTTGAAACTCTGGTTCATACATCTTTGCCTTTTCTACAATGCCAGTCTACAGAAAAAACATACATAATTGTGCTCTATATGCAGGATACTTACCGTTGGATGGATTTCAGACACACCTGAACTTAGTACTATAGCATCCCCCTATCTCTTCCCTCTCTCTTCTGCATTACCACATGATAAACTCATTGTGTGGATCTGGAACCATACTGCCCACGGAAGGAAACACTAAAACACACCAAGACTTAGGACTCTGGGTCAGAATATTATTATTTTGAAGGAGTTACTTAACCTTTCTGTGCCTCCATGTCTTCATCTATAAAATGCCTCAAATAACATATTCTCCTTCCAGAAGCTGGTTGAGAAGATTAAGTAAGATAATCCATCTAAAGGACTTGGTGCATAGTAGGTATTCAGCAAAAGTTACTGCTGAGTGAGTGGTTGAATGAATAAGAAAATAATTTCTGGTTCAAAGGTATTTGCATCTCTCAGATGGCAACTCCTTTCGAGGAGCCTCACATGACTTCAGAGCAGGACACTTATGCTCCTTTTTCTGACCACCTGTTAGTCCTTGACAAACTTAATTCTCAGGGAGGATTTATTCCTGGCCCTTCACCAGTGCCACAATGGAAG